ATTGTGGCTCACAGAGTCAGGTTCCTGTGTTGCTTAAAGGTGTTTTATTGGTATTTTTCTTTAGAGACGTTTGGATGAAATTCCCTTTGGTGGGATGGCTGGACCACTTAAGTTCTGTATAAATTCTACACTGTTGAACGCCTAATGCACAGACATTAGGTTGGCTTTTAGCAGATAGGGTGATTTTCTTTCTTAAGTGAATATGACCCAGGTGCTAAAAAGCTGTAGCTGAGGTGCCATGGTAAAAGCACAAGTCAGCTAGGTACATAAATATTACATGGCTACATCTTTAATGGGTTCCTGTTGTAGACTTGCTTTGTTTAAATATTTCCATAACCCTGCTGATTTATTGCGTCTTTCCTAGGAGTATGCTGTTAGCAGGAAACGCGGCTGAAGCGCTTTCAATCATGCTGGAGGATCATTATACTTTCACTTGAATAACTAATTAGTTGCAAGAAATTAACCACTGCTGTTTAGCACAAAAACATGTCCAAGAGGGCTTTCATTTTTGTTGTGGAAAATGACCTCAGGCGCTTGAGGAGGGGGCAGAAAGGAGAAATAATGATCCTGCTGTCTTTTAATGTAACTTTTGTTTTCAATTCAGCCTGATAACTTGCAGGCAGCAAGGCCGGCTGAATAGGGCGTGCTGCACTTGGGCTTGGGATAAATACCTTTGGATCCCGTCTGTGCMTGGGTCTGGCACTGACCTCATTCCATTGACTGGAGCTGGTTTGGGTTTCTGGATCCTGGCCTTCGAGGCTGCAGGAGGCAGCGTTTGCGACTGACAAAGAAGTGAACTAGTGAATGGGGTGCAGGATATAACCAAAGAAAAGATATCGCCCAGCTGGTCAAGTCTCTGGACCTTGTTTTTCCTGTTAAGTGATGATCCTGCTTTGCTGGAATGGGAGGGAGGGGAGGTGTCTCTGAGTACACTGCGCAAGGGCTCAGTGTTACTCCCRTATGCCATTAACAGCGCTACTAATGAAATGCAAGACGGAGTGAAATGAAGGAGGAGAGTGAAGGATAGCCAAAATATTTAGCAATCTGCTTCTTCTAATTGAGGGGGATCTGAGGACAAATGACTTCCAAGATCTGGGCTCTTAATATATAAAAACAGCTTGATGGGGCCAAGTGAAATCATGGCCACTGACTTTTCTGGAGCTACCGTTTCTTCCCAACTATTTGAGAAATAGGTGTATTTATAAAACAAAAATGTTCCAACCAAAGATGCRTTAAGTCTTCTCTCATCTGTCAGTTTTCTTCTCCCTCTCTTGCAGAGGAAGTGAATTCCTCAAATATTTGGAGAACGGGAGAGAAGTATCGTGCAGTAATGTAAGGGCAAAGAGGTTGGGAAGTATATTCATATATCTTGCTCTGCCCTTCTCTCTACCCCTGCTTGCAAAGTTAGAAAGCTAAATCTTCAGTATGTGCCTATCAGCTGTAGTGACATAGAAATGCTGGGAATTACTCAGGGTAAAAAGAGAGCAGGCTGCTGTGGCCATAACAAATTCCTGCTGAATATCACAAGTAAGGAGCTGGAGCCAAAAGAAGGGGGGAAAGGGGCAATKCAAGTTCTTATCTACTGAAAATCACCTACTAGCCTGTGCAGAGTGTGCGTTACCACGCAGCTGCACGCTCCCTGCACGCCCAGTGGAATTTCTGCTGCAATTCCAAGCCTCCCTCTTCTGTTTCGCTCCAAAGCGCGCTCCGAGTGCCAGATTAGTGCCGACATTCGTTAAATTATGAGACCATTGTAGCTTGTTCTAATACCTGTAATTCATTTAAACTATATAGATATGTCTTTTGGTGATTACAGCTGAGTAATGTAACACGTAACACTTGAATGTAAAACCATCCAGAAACATCCAAGTCAGAGGCTATTGACAGATGCCTCAACCCAATGCCTTCCCTCCCCCTCCATCACATATTCTAGTTTCAGCTGCTCCATTTCTATCTGTAAGCTCCTGTTGAAGGAGCTGAATGTGCCTTCAAATTACAGGATCTGTATCTAAGAGCAGTTTCAGACTCCAGTTTGGACTTGTGCCTGTGGTTCAGATTGGGTTCATTTAAGAAATGAGTGCTTAATCGAATTTGAGTCTGGAAGCTCTTTCCTGCTTTGTCACGTTAGACTCCAGTTATTGCCTTGCTAATGTTCAGATAGCAGCTATCTCTGCTGTGAAAATCCATGGTCCTTCCTAGTCTTGCGTATTCAAATGAGGTGGCGAATGTGTATTTTAAAAAGAAATAACTATCTACAGAGAAGAGAATGTAAGACTGCCTTGTTTAATAAAAAAAAGAAAAAGAAAAAAAGAGTTAAAATACAATTAAAACAAACAGACCACTAAGTTTGCTTTATGTTCAAACCTTGGTAATTGAATGAAATTGCAAATCGTAGATTGCTTGTTTAGCTCATGTTGTGCAACAACTGCAAATGAATTGGTAGCAAAGCAAACCCTGCGCTGCTTTACTGAGGAAATGCATTTATACAGGCCACATGTGCTAAGCCAAGGTATTACAGGGAATATCACCTTAAGTGCACTATAGGAAAAGTAGGTCGTTATGTGCCATTGTCTCCATTAGGAAAACTCATTCATATCACTTGCATGTAGTTAACTTTCTATGGGTGCATGCAGYGGAAAAGGCCAAACGAGAAGGTGGGTTTGTCACACTTCCGAGAATCTGCCCTGCATTTGGGTCTGTGCTGTGCAGACAAAATATGAAGGGATTAGGTAGAAAAGTGTGTTCCAGACGTTTGATTTCTTCATAGCAGTGGAAAGAAAGGTTCACTGTGCAACTGAAAGAGACTCTGGATAGGAGAGGGAATGGTTGCTTGCCTGGTATGGGTGTCTGGTCTGCATCTTGTCCTCTTTTCACCCTTCTGCCGTCTCCTGAGGCTGCTGAACCAACCTGATTTGTTTTCCTTGCCGGTCTCCGTGAGCTGCAGGTCTATAAACATAGTTTTATGTGTATGAGAAAACATGTTTCTCTAGCATTTTAGCATGAGCTAGTATTTCCAAGCTTTTAGGTTTTACCGATTGATTCCACTTTTGCATTTGGCAACAAAATGTGCCTGCTCTTTTCAGGCAATAACCGATTGCCTCACGCACTTGGTGGTAGCGAGTTGGGGGTTCTGTAGGTCACAACTCCTTGTAAATGCAGTGAACATGGATGACCTCACGTCTTTATGACTGCAAAGGCTGGCTGGAACAGTATACCTCTGGATAAATAACTGCTGCTATTATTTTTAAGGAATGGAAATAGGGATGCTTTTACTAGTCAAAAATAAGAACCAAATCTGTGCTTTGTAGTGTATGCTCTTGCAAAAGTTAAGGAAAGAACTAGCAGTATTTCTTGGATTGTGGCTTCTTTGTACCTAATATGTTTGATATGTTATAGATGTTTGTCAAAGCTGCATAGTCAGGAGCAGAACAATGCACACGGTCAACATTGCCTTAACTTTGGCATTCTGCCCAGGATATTTTTTTCTGTCTCTTTTTTCAAAAAAAAAAAAAAAAAAAAAAAAAAAAAAAGCCCCCAGTGTCTGTGTCTAGGGGCTTAGGACCAACTCTGTCTCATTCTTTCCTTTTTGAGCCTTTGTATAATACTAGTATCAACTATTCAATCAGCATCTTTGAAAAGCACCTACCAGGCTGCCAGATTCGTGAGGGAGAGAAGTTAAATGGTGCCAAAAATCAATCACTTTGTGCTAAATATGGTTGCTGGCTCCTTTCCCTGTCTGTCAGAGCCTGTAAAGAAGTCTAATGCTCTGCTTTTCAGTGAAAAGATGGCAGAGTTTAAAGAAAATGACATCTGAAGCTTCTGTTACGTAACACTCTCCTTGCCAGCCTGGATGGCTAGGAGTAGAACTGGTCTCAAATAGTAGCAAGGTCCTATCTTGACTCCTTTCTGGCATCTTACGTGGCATGGGATGCGTTTCTGTCCAGCTACTCTACTTGCCTTTGGGCTCCACACTTTTGTTTAGGAAATTTACATTTAAAAAAAGTTCTAATTTAAGCAAAAAAAATCTTTAACACCCACTTTTGAAAACCCAAGCTGAAGACTACTTTTAAACAGTGATCTAGAGTGGATGAAAAGGAATAGACTCATTCACCACAGTAGATCACTTTAGTCCTTTTATTAGGAAAAGGTGGGGAAAAGTAATTTTCAACTATTTTGCTGCCAAACCGCCTTGCTCTTGTGCCGAGCTTCAACCTGCAGAATACCCATCAAGCTGCTCAGCTGCCCTTTGCTTGCATCAGCCAGATGTCCGCATGGGCTCGGCACATTGAAAGCCRGAATGGTGTAATATTAAACTGAAAAAAGTAATGCTGAATCTACAGTGCAAACCAGTCTTTTTCACAACCCTAAATGGCACTAGAAGAAAAGCCTTTTTATTTTTTTATTTTTTTTCTCCTCCTCACCCCCTTCTCTGTAGAGTGAAAGGCCCAGGATAGAAGGTGGAAGAGCGAGAGCTCTCCTGCCTGCAGGAGCAAATAGGAGACGCGAGGTCTCTGCCTCTGTGTTGCCTAACGMGCTCTAGCTTAGCCTCCTCTCTTGCAGACGTGAATGTTTAATTGCTCCTTGCAATTAAATTGCTCCTTGCAAAAAGGAGAGGGCTTGCTGCTGTAGTGGCAAGAGAAAACTGCATAACTTTCTAGGCTGCAATTTTAGGCTCAYGACTCCTCGTTACTCCTCTGCCTGATGTAGGAGCTCTCTTCACCATGCTGACTTCTCAGTGCTTTTAGTACAGATTCCCTGGACATTCTACATAGTTGACTAGACATATATATCTCGACAGATACTTTCAGGATAAATGGTTGAAAGATAACAGCATTTATCATTTTTGTAACTGTCTCTGTTGATTTGGTTTTGGAGTTTTGGGTTTTTTTCTCCATATTTAAAAAAAAAAAAAAAACTTTAAAATTTTATTTTTGATTGGCTCTGTCCTCAACTAAGAGGCTAATGTTTCTTTGCTGGATATTCTCTTTCCTTCTTAGGTCTGACTTGACATGACTCTTTATGCTGAAGGGAGAGTTCCTGAGTGCTGTATGACACAACCCAGCCAAGCTGTCTGCATTTGGGAGGCATTTTCTCCAGCTGGATTGTCCTCTGTGAAGAGGCTTAACAGGTAAGAGAGAGCCACTAAGAGCCTACTTTCATAACTGATTTGTTGCTGAAACTTTATGCTGATATTTTTGGCACTTTCTGCTCCTTCATAAGATTTAGTCTTAAACAACCTTGTTATTCCTCTCCAGCTGCCTCTGGGGATGCTTGGGAAAAATAGTTTTTAAAATGTGCAATAATATGAACCTTGCTGTCTCTCACTTGATTTTTTTTTAATTTGTTAATTTGAGACAATGAAGGAGAACAAATGTTGCTTATGTAAAATAAGACTGCAAGTGCACAAACACGAAAAATCTGTCTCGAGTGCTGTGGTGAGCAATAGCGGACAATGAGGCACAATTGAAGAGCTATTTTGTCTAAGGTGGATGCTTTCTAAAGTAGTTCTGGTAGAGCTACTCCTTCAGACTGCACTTCTTGCCTTRACCTTCTGTACCTCTCTTCTTTCTATCCGTGCAGCATTGTCCTGCATCTTCTCTTCGTGGTGAGGTGAGGTTCATGGGGGAATGCTGCCTGACAATGAGCATGTACCTGCAGCTGGGGTCTAATGATAAAAATCAAAAATATGTTGCAAACATGCAAGGCAAGGTGGGTAGAGAGTAGCCTCAGGAGCTGGCCTTGTGAACTGTGGCAATATAGATTGCATTGCAAGGTGCTATGTGTCTGTGGCTCATGACAAGATGGTAATTTTAACTAGGAGATAAGTCAATGCACTGTTAACGAGTTGGTAGTGAACTTGTCACAGACACTCACTTAGGACCTGGTTATGTTTAGGTTTGTTTAACTTTTTTGTTATATAATATTCACATCTCCTCCTGACTTTTTTTTCCTCTCCTCTTGCAATGAAGCAGGGGCAACAAAACAAAAACCTAGAAACTGGGCCCATGTTGAACAAAAGGGCATTATGTTATAGGTGTTTCTAAGGGTATTAATTCCTTGGAAACTTGATTACTGGTAAAGTAACATTTGTTTTACTCAATTTGAAAGTATCAAACAATACATGTTGTTTTCCTACTAAGCTTAGGAAAAGTCAAAGATATGAAAATCTTTGTACGATATGAAGCAAGATATGAAAATAATTGTACAACAARGTATAAACAGAATGTATTTAATTTCCTGAGACTCATGGAAATACTTTCTCTAACATAAGACTTGTAATCTTAAGATGGGGATTCTAGGAGGGGAGTTCGTTTCTCAAGAAATGAGGAAAAATCAGCTTCTACAACAGTAGATCAGAATAAATTAAAGATATATACTTTAAAAGCCATAATAATCCATGTCAGAATAAAGCATTGAAAGTAATGTTAAATCTTATGAATGTTCATGGAGAACACGTGCTTTAATTCCAGGTTTATACACATACGTGGGAGTGGTGCTCAGGTGCTTACAGTAGAAGACTGAAATGGAACAAACACAGATKATTGTCATTTGGTTCTTGTTGAAATGCAGTGCTGTTGCTATTCTGCCACTGTAATCAGGCAGGCACTTYAGAGTTCAGCAGGGTCATATCAGTTAATTCTAGGCTGTTTCCCCATTTTACCCCTGAAACTCAAGTTGTATCCAAAATGAATTAAATTTCTATGTGCTTTTCCCTTGCTATATAATACTTCTTTTTCAAGCAAATGTCTGAACAGACTATCTCGTGTTTTTATCATTGCCTGAAGGTTAATAATCCAYACCTTTATCAAAGCAGCAAACTCCTTACAGAATAGACGGTGGTAGGAAATCAAACCTAGTATCTTGGAAAAGTTTTTCATATTCACTTAAAAGCAGTGAATTGTTCCAGGGTTTGCTTTAGGCTAAACAGTAAGTCTTTGGAGTAATTTTTTTTTCCAGAAGGACCTGTTGTTAAGTGGGAATTTTATGCTGACTTTTAATTAGAGTTGAATTTAGGAAAGACTAATTACTTCTCTGCAAGGAAAATTTTTTTTTCAGATCAAATCATCAGAACAAGCCATCAGTACTTGGAATGAATCCAGTCCAGGCTGACTGTACCAACTCTGAATAGCCATTGAAACAGTTCTAATGAACATTATTTTTAAAGAAACTGAATATTAGTAAGGCATTGATGAATTGGTCAGATTAAAATGATGAAATAGTAAAAGTATCTTCAATTAATTGTCCATAGCTAGACCCAGTGATCACTAGCAAATCACTTAATACACTGTTAACACAGTGGTCATGACTAAATTTAGAGTATTTCCCAGCAGTTGCCATGGTGTAGTATCTGGCATACCACAGTTATTTCTTAGTAAAAGGACAGCTAAGCAAAGTTTGGAAATTAAATGCTATAGCTAAAATGTAGGTATTTTCCATTTCCCTCATTGGCTGATGATGCAGGCTCATGTATAGACTTGACTGCATATTTACTARGTGCTTAAAGTTTATCTCTGAATATTACTGACATGTCAGAAGAGGCTGAAGGAGATGGAGAGAATAAGGGGGAACTAACAGTGGTACTCAACCTGAGGAATGGGTTATAGAGTAGATGAAGCCAAACTCTTCTCAGAGTACAGTAAAATTTTAAAATGTTAAAAGGTACCGCATGGGAAATTCTGACTAAGTTTAGGAAAACCGTGAGATGGCAAAGCCCTGACATAATTTGCCCCAAGAGGCATTGGTAACTTAACATATTTAATCAATGGGACAAGATCCTGCAAGAAGTAATGCAAGATCTAGCCCTGGTTTGGCAGGACATTGGACTAGATGTGCTTCCAGCCTCAGTTCTTCCTGGAGTCTCTTTGTCAGTCATGTTGGGTACATTGGGGAGGCTTGGTGGCACCACCCAGAGGCACTTTGCTTAGTAAAGATGTTTCAGAAATCTGTATTGTTATTTAAGGGTATATGTACGATATTTAAGGATTCATTTGTGTCCCAGGAGTAGTAATATCCATTTCTGAAGCTTACATGTATAAAACCATTGACATTTCTTGCAGTGTCATGTAAAAGCTGGTACTGAAGCAAAGGGGGTATGCAAGTGGCCAACTTTCTAATGGCTAGATGTATTTTGCCTCCCACTCAGTAAAAGTATTAAGTATTTCTGACCTTTTTTGCATCAAAATCCTTTTCTGGTCTAATAACRGATTTTTGATATGCTCTAGAGAGCATTAAACCTCACAAGACTTCAAAAAGCAGATCTGTTTCTACATGGTTTTGTCAGCTGCTTGACAAGAACCCTTATATCTGAAGGACACTCTGAGCTTTCTGTTCTAAAGGTCAGGAGTAATAAATGTATCTCTTTGACTATTGGCACTTTACATTTTCAAGAGAACTCTGCATTATTTGGGCTCTTCATATGTGTAGATAACTTCAGTGCCTGTTTAATGTTCTGTTTGAATGGTGGGAAGTGCTGAGTGAATAACAGAGTGCGGCCTCTTTTTTGTTTTGTTTTGCTTTTATACTCAGCTATTCAATGCTAAATCATTGTAGTTTTGGCTGAAGTTTAAAATAGAATGCTTCACCATTAAATTGCAGGAGAAAAAAGCTAGATCTCTCTTAAATATAAAGTACAATTCTGTTTGCAGTGGAAAGCACGCCGCTCATTTGGAACAAATGAAGACAAAGCACTGATAGTTGGAAAAAAAGTTGTATGTCTTTTGATAGAATCAATTTTACAAGATGAGTTGAACTTATGAATATATTCTCTTGCTTTGATAGTCTTGGTGGCTTTGGTGTTTGCTCAAAAGTTTCATGGATTTCTGATATTTAGCTCCTCTGATCTGCCTTTACTGAGTAAAAATCATTAGAAATTTGTGTACTGTCTTAGAGGTTAATCCAATATTGAAAAAGCTGGTTTACTGTAGTTTAATAAACTACTTTCTTAGCCTGAATATTATGAAGAACTAGCTTGAATTTTTAATGTTCACAGTGATTATCAGAACTTTATTATGGGAAATCCTGAAATCTGAAAAGAGGCATAATGCAAGCTTAATTCTTCTTTAAATGAATAAACCTTTTCAGTACAAGTGGAGTTGGTTGCTTGAGAGCTTCCAGCAGCTCTCATGAGCAGACCTTCCCCACATCGATTCTGTGACCAGGAGGCAGCTAGTTCCCTTTCAATTTTGATAGAATAATAATAATAAAACCCTTAACTAATCTCAGGTCAAAAATCAGTATTTATTCAGCTTAATGACATTATATGACCAGAGGTTCACTGTTCAACTYCTCAGGATCATCTAGAAGAAAATGCCTCAGATCTGTCACATAGTTTTGAAGTTGAATGTATTCTTACTTGAGATGTCAGTGCAATTTAATTGCTATTTGTTACTGTGAATAACTTTGTTATTGCGAATTACACGTGCAGGTAAACGTCCGACTCCAGAGTACAGTATTTCAGTATATCTGGGATATGTTATTGCAACTAGAAACAAAAGCTTAATGTTAAAACAAAAATATATATACCTGATCTGGTTTAGTTTAACTATGCTAGCTTCTATCCATGGCTTCCTAATCATATCCTGTATTTTCAGTTTAAATTCTCACACAAAGTCTTTTGTCTGGCCCTGTATTTTGTACTTCTAAAAAACTTCATTAATGTAGACAGGAGTCTTGGCTATGTGAGGAATGAATTATTACGGCCATCTGTGTAACAAATTTCTGTGGCCTCTACAGGTGGCAGGTTGGGTGCCGCCTCCTAGCACAGGCAGGCATTTTCTGCCCACATTTCTGGGCTCGCAGCATTACCAAGATCCAAGGCCAAGTGAGGCTGCTTATATTTTTGAGTGACTCACGGTCAGTTCACGCATTTTGTATAGAAGTTGCTTTTGTGGATAGTTATCACTGTGTTTTCTTTGTGCCTGCTGGTTTTGAATATGCTGCTTTATGCTCCCCTGAAGCTGCACACAGAGCTAATGTGCCCAGAAGCTGCCGGTGTTCAGCTGCCCCGGAGCAGCGCGCGGTCCTGTGACTGCGCCCCGGCCATAATATCTCACTTGTTCCTACCAGGCTGCTGTAATGCTCTGGTTTCTAGCCTTGTTGTCCTCGCCCTCACACACGTGTGTCTGCACTTGCCTGCTCATGCTTGTGCGTGCTCGTGTGCACGCACCCTCTCGCTCGGTCTCTTTATGTTAAAGTATTTTTATGCACAGCTGACTCTGTTCAGCTTTTTGGACGTGAGTGTGGGCGAGCAGGCTCCCTTTCCTGCACAAAAGCCAGGCGCTCGCTGCACTGAGGCGTCATGTTTGGGGTAACTGTTTGCCGTGTTTGGTGTGCAGCTTTCTAGAAACAGTCTCTGAATTCTGAGAACCTTCCAAAACTCCACAGTGGTAATTGTGAAGCTTCCCCCTCCTTTTTTAGTAACTATTTCTAAAAGAAAAGAAATGCTGTGTGAGTGAAACTTGTTTAAAGTGCATCAGCATTTCTAGCAAGAGGCTGGGGTAGTGGCCCCAGTGATAGTACATTACTACTTTGTGCTGTTAGAAGCCAAGCTAAAGGGTGCAGCTGTTGTTAGTTGTGGGGTTTCCTCTTAATTTCTTTTATTTTTCCTWTGTCCTTCTCCCTCTTTACCCTGAATCCCCATATGCACGCCTTGTGCTAGTTGTTAGGCTRGTGTATGCTATGAATGCTAGTGGTTACCGATTTTGGTTAAACTCTTTTCAAAATATTATGCAGTACTAGCAGAGTTTAAATCCAACTTCTGTGAATATGTTGAAACTAAAACATTAGAAGGATGCTAAACAGATGTATAGAAAAGCTATTTTTATTAGAACAAACTCAAATTCAGTGCTCAAGTGTGTGCATATAGGTATGTCTTATGCTATGAACTTTAGTCATGATTTTTTAAAAAACATTTCTCTGCTAGGAAAATATATGAAAGAGGTCTTTATCTCTAGGATAAAGACAGGTAAAGAAAAATAAGACTGTTATATTAATTCAAAAATTTTTGCTCTTAGAAGTTGCTTAGATTTGTGTTATCTGTACATGTTAGTCATCTGTAGCTGCTCTTCTAAGCAGAGGCTTTGAAACATATGATAAGCTGAGCATCATAATGGTGCTTTTTATTTATCCTGTGCACGCACTTAGGTAACAGCTCGAGTTCATGCAGAGCCTGGTGCCAGAATGGGCACCGAAAACCCCTTGTGATTGTTTGGCCTTGGGGAGGAGCCTTGATCCACAGTCAGGGGAATGTTGGAGATGCAGGGCCAAATGGAAGCACTCTGCGCTCCTCCTGTCTCGGCGCTAGCAAAGGAAGGGCTCAGGGAAAGCAGGATCTCATCCTGCACAACTACTGTGATGAGTCACTTCAAGCTTTTTTTTTTTTTTCCCTTGTAAGCAAATGTTTACTGGCTTTAAATAAGGTTTATTTGTCAGGAAATTCATCATCATACAAATTCATACATCATACAACTGAGTTGTCCTGTACTTCTGGTTCCTACTGTAGATTTTTTTTTCTCTCCCTTGCTATCGCCTAGGAATCATTGCTTATGAAATCCYTTGGCTCAGTGTGACTTTCTTACTCTGGCTTGTCAGTAATTAAAACAGCCTGTTGTATACTTAGTACTGCAAACTCTAGTACTGCAGTTAGAGGCTGTTGC